TTAAAATCTGCATTTAAGAGGCTGAGGGGTCTGTAAGAGTCACATCTCTGTTTGTCCTTGCCCGGTTTTGGCAGTAATGTGATTGTTGCAATTTCCAATGATTCTGGTAATTTATTTTTTTCTAAAGCTTCTTTAATCATATTTGTAAGTGGTGTCAATAATTTATTAGAAAAAGCCTAATAATCAACTGGGAATCCATCTGGTCCAGGGGTCTTATTATTTTGTAAACACTTGAGGGCTCGAAGAACCTCCATCTCAGATATATCTGCATCAAGCAGTTCTTTGTCCTCATTATGTAATTTAGGAAGGGTTATTCCATCTATAAATCTTTTTGCAGCAGTACTGTCGATCCCTTGCTCCTTATACAGATCTTCATAGAACCGTTTAAACTCGGCATTTATGAGTGCTGATTCATCAAGAAGTTTATCATCTTCCGTTAATATTGTCCGTATAAATTTATCAGATGTTTCTTTCTTAATTTGCCAGGCCAGTAGTTTACTTGTTTTGTTTCCAAATTCGTAGTAGTGATATCTAGTTCTGGCCATGGCTGCTTCCGCTCTGCTGGTGCATAAATTATCATATTGCAACCTTGTTTTTGTTAATATATTGAGGTATTCTTCCTTTTTGGTAGCAATATATTCCTGCTCCAAGTTTTTAATGTCAATCTCCAATTTAGTTATCTTCTCTCTAACCTTTTTAACCTTATTGGCACCGTATGACATAACCATACCTCTCATATAGGCTTTGAGAGCTTCCCAAATATTGGCATGTGAAGAGGAGTTTGAATTGGCATCTAGGAAAATTTCAATATTAGTGTTCATATATGAAATAAAATCAGAGTCTCCTAGCATATAATTTTTAAACCTCCACCTGTGGGTTGCACTTTGCGACATATTGGTAGCCCAGGAAAGTTTAATGGGATTATGGTCTGAAAAAGTAGTTGCTAAGTAGGAGCAATCTATCACTGTTGCCGTCATATTTTGTGGTACAAGAAACATATCAATTCTAGAGTGTGTATTATGTACTGGTGAAAAAAAGGAGAAGTCCCTCTGGCCTGGATGAAGGTTTCGCCTCACATCAATTATGCCTATATCCTTCATACCTTGGTTCAGTGCTGTTGCTGCCTTGGATAGTGAAGCTGTTTTGGGTGAGGACCGATCCAAAGAGGGATTTAGGACCAAATTAAAGTCTCCACCCACAATATACTGGCCCTCAATTGTAGCCACTTTCATTATTAAGTTGTTAAAGAATAAAGGGTCGTCGTAGTTGGGCCCATATATATTTATCAAAGTTATCTTATTTCTATTTATTTCACAAGCTACAAGTAAGAATCTGCCATTTTTGTCCTTTTCAACTGAATTTAGTTGAAAGTTCAGGTGTTTATTAATAAGCAGGGTGACTCCTCTTGCTTTGGAAGTATATGACGAGTAAAAAACATTGCCTACCCAATCTCTTCGTAATTTTAAATGTTCAGCGTCTGTGAGGTGACTCTCCTGGATAAAAGCGACATCTACACGCTGCCTCTTTAAGTATGTCAGCATTTTTTCCCTCTTAATAGGTGAATTAATCCCTCTAATATTCCAAGATATACAAGTTAGATGACCCTTAATTTAAGTTTTTTTTTTAATATGAATGTCTTGGACAGGTACGTGTCATGGTATTCAACTCTGGGGATTTCTGAACACATTCCTGCTTTTCTGAGTTTCGATGTGGTGAAGCTCTGTCCATGGGTATAATAGTAAGATACAGCCTAGACCAGGGAGCTATCTGAACAGTTGCGTAAGTATGAGTAAAATTTTTGGTAAGAGACCATACATAACCCCAAAACGTTAAAATAAAAACCTGCCTCATAAAACCCCTATAACAAAACCACATTAGGTAGGTAATTCAGCTAAACAATAGTGGTGGCCCAGGCAGCTGTTAAGGTTGAAACTTTAGCCACTCTTGGTGAGATATTTACAGCAAAGTACTAAATTTTTACAGTCGGATACAGAACATAACTGTGTAAGGGACAAATAAACTGGTTGATCAAGATGTAATCACACTCATCCAGTAGGGGGTTGATATCATGATCATAAATGCACACAAAATCTGTACTTTTATGAATTCGTACACATTATTTTAACTGAGAAACGAACAAATATTTATATTAGTTATCAAATACTGGATTACTATAAATCATATCTCCAATTCGTCTGAAAAGTGGAGGATGGAGAGTTTCTATGTCAATGCTTGATGTTATAGTCTTTTTTCCCTTCATTTCGCCCCCACCCCCAAAGTTAACAGTGGAGGGCTTCTCATCTGAGAGTACAAGAGCCAATTGCTTTGTTGAAATCCAATTAGATCACTTTAGTCTACTCACTCGGAAGATCTTTCAGATAACGTTGTGCTTCAGCAGGAGTGGGGAAAATTTTGATAGATCCCTGGTGCCTGATGCGAAGTTGCGCTGGGTACATCAGAGCATATTCAATCTCCTTCTCTCGCAGCCTCTGTTTCACGTCACGGAACTCGTCTCTTCTGCGTTGCAGGTCTACGCTGTAATCCGGGAAAAAAGATATTTTCTTATTCTCATACGTCATCTCTCCCCTACTTCTAGCCAGTCGGAGGACTTTCTCTTTGCCTCTGAAGTTCAGAAACTTAGCAATGAGGGGCCGTGGTCTGTCAGACTTCTTCCTGACGTGGTGTACTCTTTCAAGGGTAATGTGTGAGGTGAAGTTATCATTCCCCAGGATTTATGGTATAAATTTCTCCAAAAATCCCACAGCGTCGCAGCCTTCTGCTTGCTCAGGGATGTTCAGTATCCTCAGGTTGGACCTTCTACTGCGGTTCTCCAAGTCGTCAATTTTGTCTTTGAGTTGCATTGTTAATTTCTTCATTTTATCGACACGGTTGTGTGCATCTTTAATGTCATCTTCGTTTGCGCTCACTCGCGCCTCCATCTCCTCAACCTGCTCGGAAAGCGCATTAAGAGAGGATTCAATTTTCGTCAGGGTTGCTTGTATATCGGCCGTTTTTTTGTCAATATGTTTCGTGAGGTCCTCTTTAGTTTCCTTGATAGCATTGAGTAATTTGCTAATTGGCAATTCCTCCTCCCCATCCGCCATATTTCTTGTTGCCAATGTGTGCAGGTGTCCTGAAGTTTTAGCCGTTTTCTTTCGTTTTGAGTGTCGCAAATTATAACTTGCCATACAGAAGTTTCCTTAGTAACTTTGCCTCTTGCTATGGTCCGGAATTGTATGAGGGCAAGTCAGGATAAAGATAGATTCCTGGGCCTACCGCAGGGAGCTCACGAATACACGTCTACTTTCGTCCGCTGTCAGCCATCTCCCTCCGCCCCGTTTCCTGGTTCTTGAGAGGTACAGATCCTGGATGGAGGGCAGGGGGGCGCCGATGATTCTTTCTGCTGCCCGTACAGTCCGCTGCAGTCTGCTCTTGTCCTGTTTAGTGGCTGCACCATACCAGACTGTGATGGAGGAGCACAGGACAGACTCGGGTAGCTGGTGACACACTGAGCTGAGAGAGTTTTGAAGAGAGAAGTTCAGGCACGATGGTGTTAAAAGCCGAACTAAAGTCCACAAACAGGACCCTGGCATAAGTTCCCGGGGGGTCGAGGTGTTACAGGATGTAATGCAGCCCCATGTTCACTGCCAACCTGTTTGCCCAGTAGGCAAACTGCAGAGAGTCCAACTGGTGGCCTGTAATATCCTTCAGATGGACTAACACCAGTCGTTCGAAGGATTTCATGACCACAGACGTCAAGGCGACAGGTCTGTAGTCATTCAGTCTTGTGATGGTGGGTTTCTTGGGAACAGGGATGATGGTGGAGCGTTTGAAGCAGGAGGGAATTTCACACAGCTCCAGGGATCTGTTGAAGATGCGAGTAAAGATGGGAGCCAGCTGTTCACCACAGGTTATGAGGCAGGAGGGTGAGGTGTCTGGTCCGGGGGCTTTCCTGGGCTTCTGTTTCTGAAATAGTCGGCTCACATCCTCAGTGTGTATTCTGAGTTTCAGGGAGAAGGAAAGGGGGGTGAGAGGTGTGATGGAGGTCGTTGAGTCTGGATTGGAGAGGGTGGTGGTGGTTGTTACGGGAGGTCTGTTAAGTGAGCCTCCGTGCAAAAAGAATAGGAATTCTAGTAGGGACCAGCAACAAACCACCACGCACACACTGCAATGGGTTACACAAAATTTATTTGTTCTTCCTCTAGGCAAACTACCGGCTGAAGACAACCCCGGCCAGGGATCCAAAGCCCAAAGACCACCGCGGTCCGAGTTCTTCGCCTAGTTACAAACAGGGGAGAGAGGGTCACTGCACGAACACGCAACCAACACGTATCAATCCTGCAGCTCCCTAAAACAGGTTTGCCACCCACCTTTTCAGGCTTTAACTTTGTTCGAGGCTGGGTCTCCACATTACCTCCCGGCAGTTAAACTTCCCCGAGCTGGTCCAGTTCTTCTTATCGGGGCGCAGGAGGTCTCCAGTCTAGTGCTCATTTTCCTCTTTTCCAACACATCCCTTTTTTTTCCAGCACATCCTCTCTTTTCCAGCACGTCCTCTCACAGCTCCATAGGAATACGTCCTCCTTTCCACGTCCTCCGTTTCGTTAAAAGCAAAAACCAGGCCAGGCTAAAAAAAAAATCCTTTCTATTAAAAATGCACACACTTTGTCCTGGATCTCCGGGGCTCTCCTGCTTCACCGAGGTCCTACTAAAAACAACAACAACACTTCCTGCTTCCTCTCCCCTTTATAAAGAGGAACTCCAATCAGCCGCTCCCTGTATTCAACTCCGCCTCACTGGCAGCTGGGCTAGAGTAAAATCTCCCCTCCCACACAGGTGCAACAACCGTAAATAAACACAAAAACATGCAATTAATCCAAAACAAACTCAAAAACAAAACCAACAAAACTTAGGGGGGGGGGGGGGGGTTCTCTCCGTCCTTTCCCACCATGCTATACTCCGTAACACCCACCCCAACTTTTTCCTAGCCCGTCCTCGGGCACTCTACTAAGTATATCGAGGTGGGGGCTTCCCGAGATTTTCACGGGCAGATCTCCTTAAACCCTCCTGAGTTGCAGGGGCGGACTTGTTGGAGGACAGATAGTGACCTGGCCCTGGCATCTGCTGTGCCATACTCCATAGAAGTAACCACTGGTCTGAGGCTGTCGCTATATCATGCGCAGCTGCCGTTCCTGGTTCTAAGGCGCCACCTCCTGTTTTATCATTGACGGAAGGCAAGAAAGTACATATGCGCAGGCGATTACGATGGACCACTCTAACAGGCCCATCTTTACCTTCTGGCCGAACTCTGTAGACTGGGTTCATAGGGTTTGGCTGGCCAACTACAATTTGGATCTCTTCCTCCCAGTGTGCTGCCAGTTTACCCTGTCCGTCCCTTCTTGTCGTATGGACTAGAACCCTTTCCCCCGGGAGCAATGGTGCTGCCCTAGCCCCAACATCATACCTGTCCTTCATCCGGCCTGCAGCCTTCTGGCTGCTCTTTTCCACCATCTGGTATGCCAGCCTCAAGCGCTCATGATGTCTCCTCACCCACTCCTGCGTCGTGGTTGACTCCATGGGTCTCTTCGTCCCCATAAACAGCTCGCCTGGCAGACGAGCATTCCATCCAAACATCAGGTAATGGGGGGTGTAACCTGTAGACGCATGGACAGAGTTATTATAAGCCTGGAGCAGTTCGGGCAAACATTGTACCCACCGAGTCCGCCTCTCTTCCTCTAGGGTGGACAGCATATTTATTAATGTCTGATTGAAACGTTCACAGGCCCCATTTCCCTGAGGATGATAGGCAGTAGTTCGACTTTTCCGACAATTATAATACTGACAGAGCTCCTTTATGAGGGCGGACTCGAAATTAGCACCTTGATCCGAGTGCAGTTGTTCTGGGCATCCAATTGGCTGAATAATATGTTTCAACAACATCTTCGCTGTAGTTGCAGCGGTCTGGTCCCTGGTAGGTATTGCCCAAGCATACTTTGTAAACAAATCAGTGGCGAACAAAATGTACTGGTATGAGTCTGCCGGTCTACCTAATGTCAGGAAATCAACTGCCACGGTCATAATTTACTAATGACGATACACAGGTGCAACAACCGTAAATAAACACAAAAACATGCAATTAATCCAAAACAAACTCAAAAACAAAACCAACAAAACTTAGGGGGGGGGGTTTCTCTCTGTCCTTTCCCACCATGCTATACTCCGTAACATGGTCGTTGAGTCTGGAATGGGGAGGGTGAAGGGGGGAGAGGTGGAAGGTGTGTTGGTGGTCAATGTCTGAAGCAATGTCTCTGGGGAGGGGAGGGTGAGGCGTGGGAGTCTGTCCATCTTAAACCTGCAGTAGAAAGTGTTTAACTCGTTGGCCAGGTCTTTGTTTACTTCAACAGTGGGTGGGGGGTGTCTGTAACTGGTGATTTCCTGCAGGCCCCTCCACACTGACAAAGGGTTGTTGGCTGAGAGCCGTTCTTCCAGCTTCTGGGAGTAGATCCTTATAGCTGCTTTGATCTCTTTGGTCAGTGTGATCCTGGCTTGCTTGTACAGGGCCCTGTCACCACTTCTGTAGGCGTCCTCCTTGGCCTTACGAAGATGTTGGAGTTTAGGAGTGAACCACGGTTTATTGTTGTTGTATGTGCAAAAGGTCTTAGTTGGCACACACATGTCTTCACAAAAACTGATGTATGTCATATGTTCTAATGTTAGCCGATTTGGCTTTTGCATTTCTTGATGAAGTGGACCGACTTAAATATTTGTCCATAGCTCAACCCTTGATGACGCACATGTATTTACATGCCACTAGTTTGAGAGCCACTGACCTAAAGGACACATCCAGATGTCAAAGGATTAAGAAGATTGTAATAAAACACAAGTTGAAGAGTTGTGAATGATACATATCTATATATCTTCTCTTCATTTCAATTCTTATTATGAGTTAAAGAGGACAGATGTTCTGATTTTACTCGTATACATCACATAATGACTCAGTGCAAAGTTTTTGTTATTGTTAGAGTGAGTTAAGTTACCTTTAAATCCCAAATGGACCTGAGAAAGGTGATGATGGTGACATTCTAAAGACACTTCTGGAACGTGGTCGGAATGTCTGTCAAAAAACTGCACAAACGCTAATGTCAAGGAAGAACACTGATCAGGTAATTTAAACTGGTATTTATTTAAACTACTTAGCACCGTTACAATAAGCTAAAATTGTCTTTACTCCAGTTTTTGCTGCCGCTGCTAATAAGGAATGAGGGATTTCTGTGTATGTTGATTTACTCACTTATGTGGTTGTAAATCCAGCGTGGCAGAGCAGAGAATGAGGCCTCTTTGTCTCCTGCCTTCTCATTGGCTGACCTCCACTCCCGGTCCCTCCGCCCCCAATCCCCTATAACCCCGACCACCCTTCAGTTACAAGTTTTGCAACACATTCCTCGCAAACAGTGTTGCAAAAGTATCAGTCTATCAGTCAACACATTTGTGAATATTTTTTTCTGTAACTACATTTAAAACACATGTGCAGTGTGTAGAGAAGAATATGTACAGGTGGAAATTTCAAAGTACACGTTCACATTTTTTCTACAAATTGTTCCTTTTTATTCTACAACTTCTCATATTTTGCAACAATACTTTCATACATTCCCAGCTTCTGTAACCAGTGGGTGCAGTGTGGTCGGCACCAGCTCTGCTGCCCTCTGAAGGTTTCTCCAGCAGCTCAAAAGCACTTACCCTCCACCTGCAGAAGAGTGAACTGTATGTCTTCCTCTGCCGTAACAAACACAGCCCCCCCTCCTACGCCACTGGAAACTTCCACTGCTCCTAAACTCCTCTGACGAGCCCAAAACCAGCACAAAGTGTACCTCACATCCACACAATAATTCACCTATTGATTGATAAGCAGTTTACTTCAGCACACAGTCAACCAACACAGTCACCAAATAACAGTGTCGGCGATATGGGATTTACTCATATAAAAATCATTTTAAAAAAAAGAAAGTATTTCAGACTAAACAGTTGAAATATAAAAAAAATGAAATGCATGCCATTATATGTTTGTATATCCACAATGTAAATGTTGTTTGTCATAAATCAACACTGTTTTTGAGACTGACAATAAAAAAATCAGCGCTGAACTCGTTTAAAGCCTGAGTCTTCCTTCTGCAATGCAGTTGAATAACTCCTGAGTCATGGGTATGTAGCCCTTATTGTCTTCCAGGTAAAACAGAGGATCCTTGATGAGAGCAGGGTTAAAACCTTCCTCTGCCAGCTTCACCTTCATCTGCTTAAAGGTGCTCGTCACTACCAATGCATCCTGCCAGAGAAAAATGAAATGGTTACGGGATTATTGCTAAGATGTATGCAGATATATCTTAATGTGATTAATTCTTTGAACTTTATTTACCTGTATGCGAACGAAGCGTGGTCTTGCGTAGCTGGGCAAGTAGTTTTTGACATGCTGATATAAAGCTTTGCCATCAAAGTCCATATTTTCTTTCAGTTTCAGCGCTGCCATTCCAATTCTTCCCTCGTGTCCTATTCAGTGAAGGTCAAAGTAAAAAGAAGAAAAAATACCCTCAGAATCCAGACATTAATCCAAACATTCAGAGTTTTTCCTCAGTATGTCAGAAATATGCGATTAATCTCAGAATTCCAAGAAAAAACTTCTGAATTCTGAGTTTTTTTTCTTAGAATTCTGGGGGGAAAAAGATGTTTGTAATATTTATGAGACATACATCACAATAATCTTGCTTTTAGTGTCATTATTACCTGGCACCTTCACACCATAGACATTAGCCTCTTCAACAAAGTCAACTGCGAGCAGGTGGTCAGCCACCTCCGTGGTTGCCACATTTTCTCCTTTCCACCTGTAACAGATATAATACCACAATGTCTGTAATTCTGAAATGATATATCTCAAAATAAGGTTTTAATGCTTTACTTATTTTTTTAAATCTAGCTTCACAGACAGTGTTACATCTATGTCAGTTTTTTATTGCAGAATAAAGTGTTTCATGTCTACTTTAAGGCAAAAACACTCTCTGGTACTCCTTGTCCTGACCTTTCACCCAGATTGTCAAATTCATTTATTATGTTTCACAGACCTGAAAGTGTCTCCAATGCGGTCTTGAAAGAAGAGAAATCCCTCGTCGTCAATCTTTAGAAGGTCGCCACTGTTAAAGTACATGTCGCCCTTCTCGATCACATCTCTTAGCTTCTTCTTGTCTGTCTGCTGCTTGTCCTTGGCATAGCCACTGAAGGGTGTTCTTTTTCCAATCTTTGCCACAAGCAGACCAGTTTCTCCTGCGAGTAAAAGTAACAGCATACGTTTAAGTAGTAGCTTAAAAGTCAAGACGGCACTTTAGGAAACAGGCTCACCTCTTGGGACTTCAATACAAAATCCTCTGGAGTCTCTGACTGGCTCCTCTTTTTCTGTGTCAAACCTTATGAGGGCATATTTGCATGCCATCTGAAACAGTTTACAGATACATTGAAGAGAAAAAGGAGTTAGTCATATAATTTGCATATACTATATAGGCTGTATACACCAGCAAACATTTGAAAAAAACAAAAACAAGAAAAGTCATGTGAAAAAGAAATTTCACCCACTCTTCACTTCAAAGATTTTATGCATCAAGACAAAATAAAATATATTAATCTGGTTTGGAATAGGTTTTACAATCAAGTAAATACAACATCAGACGAGTAACAACACACAAGATGTTACATTGTCATTATCTTTTTAACAAAGATTCAGCCAAAATTTCCAGTGTGTGGAAAAAGGAAGCAGACATTTCTGCAGTTTGCTGGTCTGGAGCACTTAAGTGTTGTGTTAACAGGATGCCATTAGGAAAGACATCAGCAGTGATCTTATAGAAGCAATTTTGGTTGCACATCAGTCTGGGAAGGGTTACAAGGCAACTTCCCAAAAATCGGAAATCCATCATTCTGCAGTAAGAAGATTATTCACAAGTGGCAAAAGATCAAAACAGTTTTCAGTCTTCCCAGGAGTAGACGTTTAAGTAAAATCACCTCAAGCTCAGACTTAATGTTTAGAGCAACTACAGAAAAAAAAAAGTTGGAATGGCCAAGTCAAAATCCAGACCTGAACTTCACTGAAATGATGTGATTGGACCCTAATAGATCAATGCATAAATGAATGCTCCCAAACCTCAACAGCCTAGAATGACGTTGTAAAAAAGAGTGGACTAATTATCTTTAGAATTGAAAGAGGGTGTGCTTTCTTTTTCACATGGTTATATCTCCCAATCTACATCTTACTTTGTAGAGAAAATGTTCTCTGCCCATAGCTCCAATTTTCCCACCATAGTTAATAAAGCCAACATTCCCTTCAGTTGCTCCGTAGCATTCACGGATACAAATGTTCCCAAATCGCTCCAGGAACTCAACCCAGGTGTCTTCCCTTATTCCGTTCCCTACGGCCAGTCGGACCTTATGATCCTTGTCATTGTCTCTCTAAAAGAAGGCCAAAGGAGAGGTGAGAACATAAACAATGACCATAAGAAACAATGCTCCTGACTGAAGCAGGTTGGTAGAAATCATTAAAACAGTTTGAGCTTCTAATGCATATCCCAATATCGTCATTAGTAAATTATGACCTTAAACTCGTCAAAGGAGCTTGCAAAGAAAAGCGTCTGGACTTCTTTAAGTTACTTGAAGACGTTTCACCTCTCATCCGAGAAGCTTCTTCAGTTCTTCTCGGATGAGAGGTGAAACGTCTTCAAGTAACTTAAAGAAGTCCAGACGCTTTTCTTTGCAAGCTCCTTTGACTACGATGACCTGGATGACTGAGAACCTTCACAGACACCTTAAACTTGTGTTTACCTTCGGTGTGTTGCAGAGGTAGCGCATAACCTCGCCTATGTACTGGATGACAGTCACATTGTACTTTCTACAGTCATTCCAAAAGTTGGAGGCAGAGAACTTGCTTCTCAAAACAACAGTGGTGCCTAAAAATGGAAAGATACAGAGTTCAGCAAATATGCCGCTTCATGCTAAGAGTTCAGTGTTGTAAACTCTGCAAGGCGAACTTTAGGACTTCAAAGTACAAACAATGGAAGCGGGTGTAGTTTGAGGTCATGTATATGTTGGTTTAACCTGCAATAAATTCAGGTGAAATCTTGATTTGTGGTTTTATTTTTTGGTAATATTTTATGTGTTACCTTTTTCTATAGCTCCACAAAGTCCCATAAGAAAGCCAGCAGTGTGGTACAGAGGGAGATATATGTAGACAATATCGTCTGAGCGCACACCAGCAAAGGTCAGGGCAAAAGCTGGCATCCATACCCTCTCATGGTTAATCACAGCTGCTTTTGGAAGCCCTATAAGAGCAGATGTAGTACAGTTTTATTGTCATCCTTTTACTCAACCTCTGCATGATAATTGTATGAACATAGATTAGAAGTCAAGGCCAGATAAGCCCTCGAGGTTACCTGTGGTTCCTGATGTGTAGATGTACACCGCAGGACTCTTGATGTTAATGCTGGCCCTGAGCTGACGGGACAGGGGCTCGTCTGACTCCATCTGAATTTTGTCAGAGAGGCTTTCGATGCCGTCCACATGACAGTGCTCACGGAGGATAAACACAAGGATACCCTGCTGCTTCAAAGTGGGCAGCACCTCCTCTATTGCTCCTTGAAGGTCTGAGAGCGAGGGAGGTAAAAAGAAAAGAGGTGCTGATCAGTCATTACAGGGTTACATAAATGTGTGTTTAATAAACAGTCGATCTATTTGATGGTGAAATTAATAAGATATACCCATGCAACTTTAGTGCAGTCCAAACCTCCCAGATTAAAAAAAAATAATCAGAGATACAAAAAGATCTTTTTAAATGAATTAGACAATATGATCACGTGATATTAAAAAACGAAAGATATGCGCACGTTTAAAGTTAATTTCATTAAAACAAACCCCAACAGCTTACTGCAGTATTTACGCAGCTTACCAGCGCCAGCGATCAGGACTTTGGCTTCACAGCAGGAGAAACAGTGCAGCAGGGATTTGGATCTTATGTTGACGTTGAGGAAGGACGCTGTGCATCCCAGCTTGGACAGTGCGAGCCACATCCATACAAACCACGGCTCGTTGCCCAAGAAGAGGGCTACCGTGTCCCCCTGCTTGAGGTGGGCATGCGTTAACAGAGCCCTGGCCACTTTGTTGCTTTCTCTGTCGGCTTGGCTGTACGTGTAGGAGCTTTCCTCGTAAACTATGAACTTCTTATGCGGATGCTCCGCCACTTTGTCCAGAAAACGATCTAAAATACTGTAAAACTTTTTCTTGATTCTACTCATGCGTATACCGACATAAATGGAAATAAATGTGTATGTTAAATCTTTCAAAAAATAAGGATTCCGGAAGTAAATCAGTAAGGGCAAGACTGCCAACGCGGTGCACAAAATATATGCAAGCATTTTTGTTTTTTAAAAAAGACGAATATGTCAGACCTGCTGCTGGATTCATACATCACCTTTCAACGGACTCCAGCCCTTGGATCATTTCCGTTTACGCCTCCTGAACTTTGAACGAGTTTGAGAGTTCGAGGGGTTAAAATGGGACGACACCCCCCTTTGCCTGCTGTGATTTGTGAGTCTCTTTCTTAACGTTTTTCCTTTTTCTTTCTTTTTTTCTTCTTCTTTTTTTGGCTGGGGAGGAATCACATGAACTCGATGTAGCAGTAAAGTATTTAAAAAAACTGAGGAATAGAATTTTTAAATACATATTTTTCTTAATTTTATATATAGATAGATAGATAGATAGATAGATAGATAGATAGATAGATAGATAGATAGATAGATATATCAACTGACCTCGGCACACCTGCACCAGGGTAAACCTCCGCCTACCGTAGTCCTGCTTTACATGTGAAAATAGAGCAACAGGACCGCTGAGTCTTTGACTTTATTTATTTTCTGCTGTGTTTTACTTGCATCTATTTGAAAGAGTGAGTGTAAACACAAAAAATATTTTATTTTATGTGCTGGAATGTGTAGAAAATAGGTTTAAATGTTAAACTAATTTATTCAAGTCAGAGAATGTTGCATATAATTAAATTTTTGCTTGATGCATAAAGTTAAAAGATTAAAACTAATAAAACAAGTTAAAAAAAAGAGACTTTTCCATTTGATTACATTTTGTATGATGGATTATGTAGAAAAAGTAGAATTGGGCTGAAAGATCTATCGCTTTATCACCTCTTCAGGTTGTAAATCATGTTTTTAAAAAGTAACTAAGTAATTAATTACTTTTGAAAATAAGTAATCAGTAAAGTAATGGGATTACTTTTTGGGGGAAGTAATCAGTAATTAGTTACTGATTACTTTTTTCAAGTAACTTGACCAACACTGGTAGCAAGCGAGCTAAGCACAGGGATGCATGTACCGTTTGCACAGTGTGGTGAACGAGGGAAAAAAGGTGGTCAAAGTATTAGAGCAATCCATCTTTAAAACATCTAAATGGGGCAAATTATCATTTTCTTTCAATTTTAAAATAAAAAAGATGCTGTTGATGTCATCCAGGGAAGGACGGACGTTGTTTTGCTGTGCTGTATTTTAATGTGAAGTGTACATATTTATTTTTATATTGCATGCATTGGTTATATTTTTGTGCAGTGTTTTATTTAGTTTGCATGTTTTAGTTGCCGGCAAATTGTCCTGGAGAGACTCCGCCTTTTCCCCCGTTTTTACTAATTGGACACACCTGAGAGAAAAGAAAAGGTAATTTACAGAGTGCTCAAGGACACATAAGAGGTTTGGAGCCGGTGTTCAACGCAAATGGAACACGGAGAATGCGAGACAGACAGAGGAAAGACACAGACGATCAGAGAGTAGAGATGATCAGATGGAGCAGACGACCAGCGACTGGGAAGAGAGATTACCAGCGACTGGAAAGGGGAAACGATCAGAGGAAAAAAGGCAGATGACCAGCGACTAGGGACGCGTAGCGGCAGTCTGGTGGCAATAACGACAAGAGCCAGCTCGTGCACTGCGGGAGAACAGAAGCAGTGAGACCGCGGTGCCGATTGCAGTTTGAGGAAGCGGCGGGCGGAGTTGAGAGCTCTGCCCACCCGGGTAAGTCTTTGACTTATCCTTTTTATAAAGTAAACTGCCAAAGGAATTGTGACTGCCGCCCCCTCCCTTTCTTCAGTGCACCAGGACGTGGAATGCGGGGAGGAAGGCGAGGACTCCGCTGGGTTTCCCTCTTTTAATACTACGCTGGACCTCTTAGTTTTCTGTGACTTTTAGGCCGTGGTGGATTCCACTGGACTTTTAATGTTGTGTGTTATTGATTTTTATTGTGTCTTCCCTTGGCCAAGGTTGTTTTAATTCATTTTATATTTTTAACTATTTAAATATAATAAATTATATTTTTAATTCTACAGTTTTTGTATCGTGTGCTTTTCCCTCGGCGGCTCCACTGCTCTGCCCGCTTTGAGGAAGGTTTCCTTCCTTTTAAAAAACACAAACCATCTTGGAAGCATAATCAGCCTTTCCGCTCCGTTACATTATCATTTCAAATAATAATTTTATAGGATGATATCAAGCATTTTAAGTAGAGATGGTGTTCTTCACAAACTAGCTGGTGTTATCTGTTAATAAGCCAATAAAATGCATTATCAAAATAACCCTATGACTTTCAAACTGGGGCAGCACGGTGGCACGGTGGTTAGCACTGTTGCCGCACAGCAAGAAGGTCCTGAGTTCAATTCCACCATCAGGCCGGGGTCTTTCTGTGTGGAGTTTGCATGTTCTCCCCGTGTTTGCGTGGGTTCTCTCCGGGTACTCCGGCTTCCTCCCACCGTCCAAAGACATGCAGCTTGTGGGGATAGGTTAATTGATTAATCCAAATTGTCACTAGGTGTGAGTGTGGTTGTCTGTCCCTGTGTGTTGGCCCTGCGACAGACTGGCGACCTGTCCAGGGTGTACCCCGCCTTTCGCCCTATGACAGCTGGGATAGGCTCCAGCGCCCCCCGCGACCCTGAAAAGGATAAGCGGAAGCGAATGGATGGATGGATGGACTTTCAAACTGTTAGAATTCACTTTTTACTTAACATGTTTTATTTCATAGTAGTGGAGAAGTCCAGTGATATCTGATCAGGTCAGTCTTACAAATTGCTCTCCGATGCATCCATCGGAGTATGAGTGTGTGTGAATGCTACTTAGAAAGCGCTTAGAACAATGTGCTTGTGTGAATGGGTGTGAATGCACAAGTTGTGCAAAGCGCTTTGAGTGCTCAGAAGAGTAGAAAAGCGACCAGTCCAGTCCATCTGCCCACCCCTATCTACCATTAGGCTGTGGTTGTGATTCCCAGTCAGATCGTACAGTCCACTATGATGGTAGATTTGCTCCATCTGTGCCTTTGTATTTCTTCAGTATTCTCACTGTTTTTGATTTCACTACAGCACACAGACACACACCATGTTCACTCACCTGAAGGGTTTACCAGTTCAGCCTCATGGCTCTTCCAGGTCCCAGCCGGTATTGTGCCTAAACACCTCAGCCTTACAATTATCTGCAGAACTCAGTACCAACTGAAAGTTCAATGGCCTGGTCATTCTTCACCTAGTCTGCACACCAGCATATTCCCTCTCCAGATGTAAGATGAGTCCATCTCCGTGAACAAACTAACACTGTGTTGCCTTTTCCGAGATTCTCAGTTCCTCTCAGCACTTTCTAAATAAACACTTGCATCTCACACACTGTTGCCTGAGTGTGCTTTCTGGGTTTAGAAAACGAGTAAACATGATATTGTCAGGGAACTCCCGAGTTCCTGAAAACATTGGTTCTATTCTAATGGCGCTCCACCAAATGCAAACTTCCACCCATGATTCAAATGGAATACCAAGTTGATGCATAAACAATAGGGATTTTTGAAACCTGGGCCAGGTATAGAACGTGTAAAGTGTAAACATCGGAAAACATGCTTATGTGCACTGTTATTTAACAATATCTGTTAATTACTGGTCAATCTAATGGCTTTACAGGGAATGCTACTGTCGTAACTCAAAGAAAGGTGTCAGGAAGGCTCCTTGTCTGAACCATGTTACTTTTAGTGTGTGTGGCAGATGTTGGATAACACCTTTGTCAGTATGAAGCCTGTAAAACTCTCGATGACTCTGGCTCGGATCAAAGTAATCAGATTGTCAGATTATAAATGTGACCTTGAGCTTCAGCACAGTGTCCATGAGAACCCATTAGGTGATTAATGTGAGCAAGTTTGGTTAAATTCTGACCACTAGTTGTGATATTTGTGATTCTTGTGAACTACAAATGGACAGACAGATGCCTCACCACAGCTCGTTTTGCTGGATGAGCTGAAAGTGTAACACCCCTTTCAACACTTTCAAGCTCGGGACTATCTGATCTCCATGAGTTGCACTCCAGTGCTTCCAAAAGTAACATGAACAGTGGAATAATTATGGTCTTGTTTTTCTGCAATTTTCACACTTGGCAAAGACAGGTAGGTCAAGTGGGTTTTGTCCAGTGGCTGCCAAATAATGAGCTGAAAACATTAACAGAGGATTTACATCAAAGATTCCTGTGCGGCTCTCCAGCCACCTTCCTTTAACACAACCAACTGATCATAAAAACATAAAAGCAGATAAGGCAGAAAAAACATTACACAACAGTTACACAGTAATAAAGCATTGGCTGCTTTTTCACCCATCCTGTCCTTGAAAATGGTACTTCTCCATTTTCAGAAAAAATGTGCAGAAATGCATGTATGTGTATAGACAACCTCCCTCCTTCCCACCCCCACATTTAGTCTGGTGCTGATTTTCATGATTTGGTAAACCCAAGCCACATTTTGTGGCTGAATGTGAGGATAACCCAGGATCTGTGGTTCCCACACAGTCAGGAAAGGGAGTAAATTCTAGATGTTGAAGTTAATTTACTGACTGCTGATTTGCTACTCTGTTTCAACCACACTGAGGAGTGAAGCTCAGGCAGTGTTTGTCCCCACCTAGTGACTGTTCCACGTCACATGTCACATCTGAAATTTTTGTAGTGAGCAAAATCAGAGCAAGCACGAAAACTGCTTCTGGCTTAACTTTAATTCTGAAGAAAGCAACGCACATTTACAGTTACTGACACATTATTATGAAATGCATTAATATCATTCCCCTTAATATATAATTTTGTAAGTATTAAATGATCATGAGGTACTCATCACTTGAAGAAAAGGAAATAATTCTCGTGAAGTACATAAAAAATAAGTATGAAATAAAGTATGTAAACTACACCGTCTATCCATAGTGTTTCTTCACCACAATTGTCGTACCATAACACATGAACACAACACTGAAAAAAAAGTACATGCATAAACAGAAGTCAGCGTGCGAGTAAATACACATTTATAGTGTGACAAACCCCGCCTCTTGTACACAGAGTCCCACGTGCTGCCTTAAAAAATGTGATTTAACCAACTAGAGCATTATTGAAAAGTGTGTGTTTCTTCCCTGAGCTGGAAGTTAATTCATTAAAAATACCAATTACCCAAAAAGCTTGCACATCTGGTGAAAACTGAGAGCCCGCTCATAGTTTCGTGCTTCCTGATATGATGGCATGATAGATCTGAGCTGTCAGTGGTACGTAGCTCTTGGCATTATCATCAAGGATGTAAAGAGGGTCCTGGATACGTCCTGGATCAAATCCCATCTCCACTAATTTTACCTTCATCTGTTTGAAAGTCCCAGTTACTTCCACAGTGCTCTACACAGAAAGAAATCATCAATATTGGATCAATGATTACTCTGTTTCTTTTCAAAAATTAAAATATGCCTGGTGTTTCATCCTAAACTGAAACAGAAAATTAAATTACCTGCATCCTTATAAAGCGAGGACGTGCATATGAGGGCAGGCAGCTGACCACATGGTTGTATATTTTACGTCCGTCAAACTGGACTTCTTTCTTCAGAGTGACAGCTGCCATCCCTATCCGCCCCTCATGGCCTACATAGCAAAACAAAGGTGGTGATGATATTCTTATAGAAATCATGGTGAGCTGAAAAAATACAGAGAAAGTAACAATCACCTGGCACTTGGACTCCGTAAACGTTGGCTTCTTTGAGACAATCACAGATCGTCAAGATGTCAGACACCTCGGTCGTGGCAACATTCTCACCTTTCCACCTGTGGGCTCACACAAGTTGCAACTTCATGTCTATTGCAGGGCTCTTTATACCAGAGGCGAAACTAAAATGTGCAAGTTCATCCATGTAGAAAAAAAAGTCCTGACAAGTATTGTGAACAAACCTTCTCAACAAGTAAATGTCCTATAAAACAATTACTGTACCAATTGTAAATCTGCTGTCAACACAAAACTGCTGTATTACTGTTAACGGTCGGGTTGTGTAATTAAAATAAACACAAAAAAAAGAAATCTAGTTTGAAAAGAGTGCTGTGTAAGAATCATGGGTTGTGTTTTCACAGCAAAAGGCTGATTATAAAACACGTAACCAGGATAATAAATTGTTTCGTTTCAACTTTTTTCCTTTTTAAATAAACATCATTTGCAGCATTCATATTCATATATACTGTGGGGGGAAATAATTAATCGATGCCATGCTGAATTTGTAAGTTTGCTCTATTACAAAAAAAACATCAGTCTCTAATCTTTAATGTTAGTTTGAGCTTCATGTAGAGAGACAAAATGTAAACAAAAAAGCAACAAAAAAAAAAAAACACATTACATAATAGTTAGAAATTGATTTGAACATCATTGAGTGAACACACTGATTCTATCAATTCCACATACGCCTGATCTCAACTCGTTCTATGTGTGTGAGCACACTAGTCCAGAGAATCTAATTCTTCCATTTAAACCTGTCCACCACCATGAGCAAAACCAAAGAACTGTTAAATGACATCTTGGACAAGGACATCATTCAGACCTGCACAGAGCTGGTATGGGCTACAAGACCATTAGCAAGACGCTTGGTGAGAAGGTAACAACTGCTGCTGCAATTATTCAGAAATGGAAGAAACATGAAATGATCATCTGTCGTCCTTGATTTGCAGCACCATGCAAGATTCTGCCTTGTGGGATGAGGACGGTCCTCAGAAAGGTGGAGGATTAGTCCAAAACTGCACAGGAGGAGCTTCTTAATGATCTGAAGACATCTGGGAACACAGTCACACACTGCACCATAATAGACTGACATCCTACAGTGCCCGCTCAAGAAGGCACATGTACAGGACCATTTTAAGTTTTCCAGTAAACAATGACTAAATGACTAGGAGAAGGCTTGGGTGAATGTTCTGTGAGCCGATAAAACCAATATTGAACTCTTTGGCATGAACTTGACCAGTTATGTTTGACGGAAGAGAAACACTGAATCTGAGCCAAAGAACACCATCCCCACAGTCAAGCAGGGAAGGTGGATACATTATGCTTTAGGACAGTTTTGCTGCTAACTTCACCACACTGAAGGGCAAATGTACAGGGCCATGTGCCACAAAATCTAGATCTCATCATCCATGAAACATCTCACTGTAGGTTGGCAACTAGGGTTACTCCACCAAATACTACAGCCCAATTTAGACTTTTGCAGGAAAAGTACATCGTAATTTATGACGTAATCAGAAACCCTACAAGCTGAAGACTGCAGGTGCACGCCAGGTTACATGGAAGGTTATGGCATTATGACGTAGACTACGTGCTGAAGCATAACTCAGGCATAAGGCATGCTTTGCTTGGGGATGAAATACTTATTCACTTAATGACATGAAAATCAATTTTTACCTTTTTTTTTTTTCCCTAAATAGTTGCCTGGTATTCTGGTTTCTCCATTAAAATGAAAATACCATGAAAAAATTGAGACTCTTCTATTTCTCTTTTTTTTTCTTCTTTTAAACGAGCCAACTTAACAAATTTAGCAAAGAATCAAATAATTATTTCACTCACTGTGTCTAATAAAGCCCGTTAGAATTAAGCATTTTATGCTTTTAGCAGTGGAAAGTCAGCCACCTCTTCAGGTTTCATCCATTTGTTGAAGTCTCATTTGTAATTAAATAATAAGGCTAAAGCTTCAGCATGAACCTGAAAATTAGTTCTGTAAACAAAAATAATTTTCCAAATGAAATCATGGTGGGTTCAGTACCTGAATGTGTCACCTACTCGATCCTGGAAGTAAATAAAGTTATCTTTGTCGATCCTCATCAGGTCTCCCGTGTTGAAATAAAGATCGCCCTTCTTGAGAACATTGTGAAGTCTCTTCCGCTCAGTTTGTTCTTCATTCTGCGCGTAGCCAGAAAATGGGGCCAAGTTTGTAATCTTTGACACCAGCAGTCCTGGTTCACCTTTAAAAAAGAAAAGTGAAGAAGATGCACGTAACTTGCAGAGAGTTTGTGTCTGCTGGGACAGAGTCCAGGCTCCATTGCGGATGAATTAATGGATGGATGTGCCATTCGAAAGAAGAACTGCAGTTATTCTTTACCTTTGCGCGACTCAATGCAGAGGCCGTTAGCATCTCGTACTGGCTCATCTCGCTCTGTGTCATACTTAACAAGGGTATAAGGGAACAGCTTCTACAGGACGAACATGATAATATGTGTTCAATACAATATTAAACCAACATAAAAAGTACTATCTACGCACATAATATCTCTTTTTGCAATAAAGAAAATACTTTCAATAGTTCATAAAATCAAGATAATTTATAACACGTGCTAATCTGTCAGGTTTGCTTGCACACTTTTCAAAGATTAATTATTTTAATAGACAATCTGTTAAATATTTAGTAAATCTGAAAACGTTCCATACATATAACATTAAAGAATGATTGCTGTTGGGATTTTTTTTTTTACCTGATGAAAAAAGTGGACTCGTCCAATAGCTCCAATTTTCCCCACGTAGTTCAAAAATCCCACATTTCCTTCAGTGGAGGCGTAAAACTCTCGAATCTGAATGTTCCCAAAGCGGTTAAGAAACTCTTTCCATATCTCTGCCCTGATGCCGTTGCCAATGGCCAGTCTTACTTTGTGGTCCTTGTCATTGTCTTTCTGTAGTTTGAAATAAGAAATAAAGAATGTGAGTCTTTTTGCAAGCACAGTAGAAATACATAGTGTCCAATTCAAGAAAACATCCAAAATACAAGAAGCTATCCATGAGCTTAGTTAATTTGTTTTTAAAGTTGCCATTTCGGATAATAATAATGGATTGGATTTCTATAGCGCTTTTCAAGGCACCCAAAGCGCTTTACAATGCCACTATTCATTCACTCTCACATTCACACATTGGTGGAGGCAGCTATGGTTGTAGCCACAGCTGCCCTGGGGCAGACTGACAGAAGCGAGGCTGCCATATCGCGCCATCAGCCCCTCTGGCCAACACCAGTAGGCTGTAGGTGAAGTGTCTTGCCCAAGGACACAACGACCAGGACAGAGAGCCCCCTGAGCCACGGTCGCCCCCCACGGGTAAGATAACAACTAGCCGAGAAATGTGTGTATCCATGGGCACTCAGCAAATCGCCATCTTTGATGATCTTTCGCCCTTAATACAAAAAGATAAATACACCATGTATGTATCAACCACAGAGCAGCACTAGTACCAGCTCACTCTAAAACAAAAGAAACTAATCAAAAACATTTTTAAGGGCTTTTAGAATAGAAATGAAGACTGCACACTTTATGAGCACACTGATGTCTTGTATTAAAAAGACATCAGACATCTAATAAGCCCTTTAATTACTAATCTCTAAGTATGTGAGAATCCGACTCACAACAAAAAAATTTCAGTTGGATTCAACAGTACTCGGCACTTTAAGTACTGTACATGTAATTTCTAAGAAATATCATTTGCTGAAATAAAATTGACCCTTAAATTAGATACAAGAAGATTCGGTATGCAAAGTTACTTGATATGGCCGTCTTAAGTAAAGGCCAGCATCTATTCCTAGAGGTGACCAGATAAAGACAAACCACCTCATCGGGCTCGTGCAGGGTCACGCAGTAAAATGAGACTGTGCCTCATGTGATGCAACTGGATACTCTGAATGGCATACACGACTGTTTACAGTAGATCTAAATAAATACAAATACATATTGAAAATATCAGAAACACATGCAGTTAGTGGTGATATTTTAAACAACAGCTTGATTCTTGTTCTGCAGTTCAGAACCCCGCAGATACTGGCGCAGAAACCTGGAACCCGATAGTTGAGATTTAACGATTTCTATTTTGGTAAGCCAGCTGTGCTGAGCTTTGGGAATGTACAGATTTGGAAAGTTATCTCTGACTGGATAGGCCTGAGCAGCAACTTGCTGCAACTAGTTCCCAGTATTCTGCCTCTGCAGCTGTCTTGAAGAGCAAGTTTTACAGTATCTGAGAGAGACGAGGCGTGGTGCCCGTAAGCATCCCAGCCAGCGACTCCTGCGAGTTTATTTGAGCTGCAGACGCTAGAATGATTGCAAATGTGACTTTCAGCAGCAGATATTGAAGTTATTGCATCAAATATAAATGTTAAAAGCAGGTACAGTCCAGATAAATGCTGTCCAAGATAATATTACTTTAAAGGCCTTATCTATTCACGTTTCAACACCCCTGAGTACGAAGAAGTCCACCTTAAATCCCTCATAAGGTTTCAGTTAAGAAGCCGAGTTCTGCCACTTTCAGCGATCACATTATCAAAACAGTGCTGCAGAGGCTTTTCTACAACACGGGAGAAACTGGAATACAGTACTATGCAAAAGTCTCGAGCTACCCCTCATTTTTGTATAGTTTGTTTGGACGTTGGCTGCTTTTTCTACTTATTTTCAGGCCAGTCCTCATACCTGACCATTTTCTCTTTTTTTCCTTTTGTTTGTTTTTCTTTTGGTTTTTTTGTTGACATAGGAATCATTCAAGCATAAAAGGACACCTAACACGAGGGATGAAGCAGTATCATCTCTACACAGAGTAGACAAAACAACCTAACTAATAACTTCTAACTTTAGGTACTTTGTTACTGTCAAAAAAACAAACAAAAACAAAACACAGTTTGTTCCCATTTATTTAGTTGAACCAAAACGGGATTCCCAAAGAGCTATTAGCTAAAATCTTGGCATATCTGAGGATGGTGTGCAGTGTGTTCTTAAAAAAAAAATCTGAGGGAACTGGACAAATGAAGGTTAACAGAACTATCTGAAAATGATGCCCATGAGAAACAAGAAAGAAAATCCACCAAAAAACCTAACATGGGACCTACCTGTCAAAAGTTTGGACACGCCTTCTCATTTAATGTTTTTTCTTTATTTTTACTACTTTCTACATTGTAGCTACTTAATGAGGACATCAAATATATGAAGGAAGATATATGGAATTATATAGCAAAGAAATAATTGATACATAACTCTAAATATGTCTTATATTTTAGATTCCCTCTGCTTTGATGACAGCAGTGCAAACCCTTTGGCCTCCTCTCAATAAGCTTCATGATGTAGTCACCTGAAATGGTTTTCACTTCACAGGTGATTTGTGGAATTTCTTGCCTTCTTAATGGACCATCAGTTGTGTTCTGCAGAAGTCGGGTTAGTACACAGCTGACAGCCCCATTTGACAACTGTTAGAATTCATATTATGGCAAGAACCAATCAGCAAAGTAAAGAGATACGACTGTCCATCAATACTTTGTAGAATTGAAGGTCAGTCAGTTTGGAAAATTGCTAAAACTCTGAATGTGCCCCCAAGTGCAGTCGCAAAAGCCATCAAGCACTATGATGAAACTGGCTCACATGAGGACCGCCCCAGGAAATGAAGACCAAGAGTCACCTCTGCTGCTGAAGATAAAATCATTAGAGTCACCAGACTCAGAAATTGCAAGTTAACAGCACCTCATCTCTACATCAACTGTTCAGAGGAGACTGTGCGAATCAGGCCTTTATGGTCAAATAGCTGCTAAGAAACCATTACTAAGGAAAAGAAACAAGCAGAAGAGATTTGTTTGGGCCAAGAAACACAAGTAATGGACATTAGACCAGTGGAAATCTGTGCTTTGGTCTGATGAGTCCAAATTTGAGATCTTTGGTTCCACCTGCCGTGTCTTTGTGCAACACAGAAAAGGTGAACGGATGGTGTCTACATGTATGGTTTCCACCGTGGAGCATGGACGAGGAGGTGTGATGGTGTGGGGGTGCTTTGCTGGTGACACTGAAGTTGAAGGCACACTGAACCAGCATGGCTACCACAGCATCCTGCAGCAACATGCCATCTCATCTGGTTTGTGTTTAGTTGGACCATCGTTTATTTTCAACAGAACAATGACCCCAAACACACCTTCAGGCTCTGTAAGGGCTATTTGACCAAGAAGGAGAGTGATGGAGTGCTGCACCAGATGGTCTGGCCTCCAGTCACGGAGATGGTTTGGAATGAGACAACATGGACCGCAGAGTGAAATGCAAAAGGGCCAACAAGAGCGTCTCTGGGAACTCCTTGACTTTTCATTTCAGGTGACTACCTCATGAAGCTCATCGAGAGAATGACAAAAGTGTGCAAAGCAGTAATCAAAGCAAAGGGTGGCTATTTTGAAGAATCTAAAATATAAAACATGTTCTGAGTTATTTCACTTTTTTTTGTTTACTACATAATTCCAGATGTTTTCATTGATCGTTTTGATGCCTTCAGTGACAATCTACAATGTAAATAGTCATGAAAATAAAGAAAAAACATTACATGAAAAGGTGTGTCCAAACTTTTGACTGGTAGTGTACATCTGACCTTTCAGTTGATCCATCTACTGTTTAATGAAGCCTGACCGGGGCAGGGATAGCTCAGGGCAGGGATAGCTCAGTAGGTAGAGTGGTAGCCCCATGATCGGAAGGTCGGGGGTTCGACTCCACTGAACGGCTACCCTGAGCAAGGTACCGTCCCTACACACTGCTCCCCGGGCGCTGCACTGGCGGCTGCCCACTGCTTCACTGGGTGAATGGGTTAAATGCAGAGGAACTATTTCCCTATGGGGACTAACACGCACACTTTACACTTTACACTTTTGACCAGAAAGGTCTCAGAGTAAAGGTGCCTGTCAAGAAGCCATTCTTAAGGAAGGTCAAAAGGGGGAAAATTACAAAAGAATTAGACTGAAAATCAGTGGTGACAAGTCTTAATGGAGTGATGAATCCAAATTTTATATTTTTGGTTCAAATCTGTGTGGAGAGGTACACCTATTCATCCATCCATCCATCTTCATCCGCTTTATCCGGGGCCGGGTCGCGGTGGCAGCAGCCTAAGCAAAGAGGCCCAGACCTCCCTCTCCCCAGCCACCTCCTCCAGCTTATCCGGGGGAACACCAAGGCGTTCCCAGACCAGCCGAAAGATATAATCTCTCCAGCGTGTCCTGGGTCTGCCCCAGGGCCTCCTCCCGGTGGGACATGCCTGGAAAACCTCACCCAGGAGGCGCCCAGGGGGCATCCTTGTCAGATGCCCGAACCACCTCAGCTGGCTCCTTTCGATGTGGAGCAGCAGCTGCTCTACTCTGAGCCCCTCCCGGATGGCCGAACTTCTCACCCTATCTCTAAGGGAGAGGCCAGCCACCCTTCGGAGGAAGCTCATTTCTGCCGCTTGTATCCGCGATCTCGTTCTTTCGGTCACTACCCACAGCTCGTGGCCATAGGCGAGGGTAGGGACGTAGATCGACCGGTAAATCGAGAGCTTCGCTTTTACACTCAGCTCCCTCTTCACCACGACGGACCGGAGCAGCGTCTGCATTACTGCAGTTGCAGCCCCAATCCGTCTGTCGATCTCCGGCTCCCTTCTCCCATCACTCGCGAACAAGACCCCGAGATACTCCTCCACTTGGGGCAGGAACTCATCCCCAACCCGGAGTGGGCACTCCACCCTTTTCCAGCTGAGAACCATGGCCTCAGATTTGGAGGTGCTGATCCTCATTCCCGTTGCTTCACACTCGGCTGCGAACCCTTCCAGTGCGAGCTGGAGGCCCTCACCCGATGAAGCCAACAGAAAATCATCACCGCAAAAATCAGAAATACACCTATTCAGCAGCACCTAATCATTTTGGTGGCTTGAGACTTTTGCACAGGAAGAAAACAAAAACGATCACAAGGACTCTGTCTGTGTCCTAGTTACACAATACTGTAAGTCTTCAAAATGCTTTGACTGCAAACGCACGGTTACATTCTAACTGTTACAAGTGGGCGCCTATTAGAATCATTTTACCTTTGGTGCACAACAGAGGTAACGCATCACCTCTCCAATGTACTGGATAACAGTCACGTTGTGTTTCCTGCAGTCATCCCAGAACTGAGAGGCAGAAAACTTCCTCTTCAGAATTATAGTTGATCCTTCAAGACAGAAATTTACATTATTACACTTGAATAAATAAATGCATGCATATGCAAATTCATCTAGAAATGAGAGGCAATTAAGTCATTATGGAAATAGTGACTCCATCTAATCCAATAGGATTAAATTCAGTGCCGCATAACTGCGTGTGCTAAATAACAAAACAGTGACTGCCCGGGGCAGTGCTGAATCTTTACTAATAAGTGTGCAACGTGGCTGCTTAGTCAAACATATAAGAGCTTTGTGAACTTTAGCCTATTTAGGGAAAAAAGCTGTTTCATAGGATCTGTTCAGATTACAGGTTCACAGTGACAAAAGACTCTTTCACTTGGATTCTACCAGGGTAACAAGAAAGAGAGATGGCGCAGGGAGATCACTTCTATTTCAGTAGAAATTAGTTCACTTATACTTTTATATATATTTTTTTTTTTTTGCTGTGTACTCTCAGCTCACGTGAGGAGCTTTCATGGATCTGCATGATCTTCAGGGAGCGCAGTCAGTGTCTACTTGTGGTTCAAGAGAAATCAACTGCTTGTGATGATGCATTTGTTTTAGCTAATCCATTTGGGATTTGGGTGGTTTATTTAGCTTTACAGCACAAGTAAGAGAATGTTCTTAATCACTTAATCCATGGATTAAAACTATAAAATCATCAGACATGGAGACAAAGATTCTACTGTGTGTCAGTACTTTATGGCAGCAATGTGAACCTGAATCTGACGAAAAACTGTCCATTACATTTATGCACTAAGTTTGTGTGAAGGCCTACTCTAATTATAGATGAATCCAATCATTTTTGTACAATAAAACCAGGTTTTGCTTCATTTTTCTTGATTTTAACATACAAAATGCCTTACCTGCAACCAGTTTTCTTGCAAACCAATGTGGATTGTTGGACTTGTTTGCATTAAAAACTACTGGCTTACATCTGGAGCCCAAATGCAGTCCACTTCATGGACTCACGGTCGTACAGGGGTGCAGCCCTTAGTGCAGATTCAATTTCTCTTGCTGTGCTCCAGTTTGAATTTGAATGCACAACAGCTTTTTTACTATATCTTTCTTCCCCTGACAGCATAGGAATTTCCTGAGGTCAATAATAGAAGTGACGTTGACCTCTGTACATAGCAGATGTCTCTGTTGTTTGACAAACTCTGAAATGTATGTAACTAAACAGCGCTTGTTATCTCAGTAGAGGATGAACCCAGCTCTCACAAAGTCTTATTTTTAACTTTAACTCACAGCTACTGCTCAGTCACCTCACCTGTCTCAATCGTGCCAATGAACCCAACAACAAATCCAGCTGTGTGATACAGAGGAAGGTTGAGATAGAAGACATCACTAGATACCACCCCGTTTGATGACAACACAGCCAGAGCTGTTAAGATGCGGTTCTGGTTGACCACAGCTGCCTTAGGAAGACCTACAGAAACACAACAAGCCGCAAAATTCTGAAACTGAACGACACTTTTAATGGGATCAACAGGACAAAGTCCTGCCACGTACCTGTGGTTCCAGAAGTGTAAATATAAACTGCAGGACTTTTGAATGTGATGTGTGACCTGAAGGATCGAGGGATGGGGTCATCCGATGCCTTCTCGACTTCATCAGAGAAGCTCTGGATTCCAGGCGTGTCACTGTTTTTGGACATCAGGAGGACAGTGACACCCTGCTCTATCAGGGAGGGCAGCACGTCTTCCACGGCCTCCTTTAGTTCTGGAAAGGCACATAAAGCACATTCATAAGGCAAAGCAGGACAAGCAAAGCAGTGTCGTGCAATAATGCAAACTTTGGTATCGATCTGATTCCAAGCAAACACAGGGCCAGTAATCCTGATACCAATACTGATATCAACTTTTAATTTAGCAAATTTTGAACAAATTTCAATGGTTCTAATTTTCACAATAATAAGTTAACACAACAAAACAGACCTTTCAGCTTTCCACGTGTTTTGAAACTGGGTTTTTTTTTAGCCCTGGACTGTAAACATGCCTGTCTCTAAAGCATTTCAAGTCAGCTTCTGTTTAAAAGTGCTGTAGGTTACAAATAAAATAGCCAGGTTTTCCAGCACATTTGATGTATATTTTTCTTCATTTCACATAATTCAGGGCTGAAGTGGATAGAAACAAAGCATCAATCCTATTGCACTAGTATCGATCAGAGACCAATATCAGCGTTGGTATCAGTAGGGGAGACCGGGGATAGTTGTAACGTGGGTCAGTTGTAACACTTTTAATTTCTCCAATCAGGGCTAAGTTTCAAATCATGTGATTCACTCGGTACATGCGCAATTCAGTTCTTCCATCACTGGTGAAAAATCAGCACCCTTCGACAAACACAGACAATTTTAGAAGAAAAAAACTAATTTGTATGCCAAAAAGTAAGTTTTTTGACTTTATTTCATTTTCTAATAGCACTAACTGCTTTGCAGTTAAACTCATCAAACTTAAATTATGTTATTTGTATGTCTTTGGGGATATATTCTGTGCATGTCTTTAGTGCTAATGTTTTAGGTGTTAGCTGTAATGCGAACTAGATCGTGGCTATAGGAGTCTGGGTCAGTTGTAACAGCAACAGCCTGGGTTAGTTGTAACAACCACGCAAATGTTACAACTTACCCCACTATTACTTTAACTCATATTTTTTTGTTTTCTTTGAATTACAGTATGCCTAGGTCATGGAAAAGACAGACTGACCGAGGGGTGCCACTCAGTATTTTGGAGAGAGCATCAAATTATGTTAGAAATCAGGGAAAGTCCACCAGATCTGTGGCAAAATTGTATGGCATTTGCCATGTCACTTTGCACCGATTTTGTAAAGAGAGGAAGAAGCTGGAAGAGCAGGGATCAATGGAACTCCCACCTGTAGGATACCATAGTGGAAAGAAGGTCTTCACTGATAAACAAGAGAAGGAATTAACAGAATACCTGATGAGAGCTGCAGATGCATTTTATGTCCACGTGAGGTAAGCAGATAGGAAGCAATAAAGGATAAGACAAGGGAAAGTTAGAAATTTGTAATGGTAGCAATTTAAAATATAGTATATCAGAAATACTAACATATTTCGTGATTAAAATTACAGGTAAAAGAACTGGCATATCAGCTTGCAGTGAAACATGGATGCAAATATCCAAAGTCATGGGACAAATTCTCCAGGGCTGGACCAGACTGGTTCTCAGCCTACATGAAACGAAACCCAACTTTGTCCATTAGAAGTGCTGAGGCTACAAGTCTGGCACGGGCCACCAGTTTTAATCAACACAATGTAGCAATGTTTTTCCAAAAATTTGATGAAGTGCTAAAGAGACACACCTTAACAGCAAATGACATATGGAATATTGATGAGACTGGCATAACAACTGTGCAAACCCCGGACAGAGTGATTGCAAAACGTGGCACTAAACAAGTTGGTGCAATGACATCGGCAGAGAGAGGTTCACTGGTCACCCTTGCATGTGCAGTTAATGCCATTGGCAACACAATTCCTCCAATGTTTGTGTTCCCACGCATACGTTATGCAGACCACTTTGTCAGAGATGGGCCAGTAGGAAGTATTGGCAGTGGAAATAAGTCAGGATGGATGCAAGAAACAGAGTTCCTCATCTTTTTAAAGCACTTTGCAAACCACACCAAGGTCAGCAATGAAAAAAAAAGTGATTCTTCTCATGGATAACCACAGTTCACACCTGTCAATTGCAGCCATTGACTTCTGCAAGAGCAATGGAATTGTGATGCTCACATTTCCCCCTCACTGCAGTCACAAACTCCAACCACTTGACAGGAGTGTTTATGGCCCACTGAAAAAGATGGTGAACAGTGCAAGTGATTCCTGGATGAGAATGAATCCAGGAAAGACCATGACAATATATGAAATACCAGGTCTTATCAGGACGGCACTTCCAGCAGCAGCTACACCAAAGAATATACAGGCTGGATTCCAGTGCTGTGGAATTTGGCCATACAATCCAAACATATTTGAAGACAGTGACTTTGCTCCATCACAGGTCACAGATCGTCCTTCTCCAGCAGTCCATATGGACATTTCTCCAGCTGACCAACAGTCTGCTCCTATTGCTGCTCATCTCACCAGTCCTACAGCTGACGACATGACCACTCCTCCAGATGCTCACATCTCCAGTCTCCCAACTGACCTCCAAGCTGCTCCCTCATCAGGCTGTGATGAAAACCCACAGACCTCCTTGGGCTTTAACCCAGAAGATGTGCGACCCTTACCAAAAGCTGGACCTAGAAAAACCCCTTCAACGGGAAGAAAAAGGAAACAAACAGCAATACTCACTGATACACCAGTTAAGATGGCCCTTGAGGCAGAACAGAGAAGCAGGAAAATAAGTTTTCCAAAGAAGAGGCTGTGCCAGAAAAAAGGCAAATCCACTCCCACAAACCTAAAACAATCCAAGCTTTCCACATCACGAAAGAAAAATCAGAAAATGAAAAACACTGAACAGGACAACACAGATTCCTCAGATGCTGATGAGAATTTCTGTATTGTGTGCATGGAAAACTTCAATAACTCAAAGCCAGAAGAAGCTTGGGTTAAGTGCCTGACCTGTGCACTGTGGGCGCATGAGGCCTGCACTCCAGGACAGCCATACATCTGTCACCACTGTGATTCTGATGGTGATTAAAAACTTGACAGAAACACATACAGTTCATTTGATGAAGCTGGTGCACAGCTACATTTTTTCAGGTTAATTATTATGTTCAAATGTGGCAAGAGTTGTCGGTTATAATCCCCACCGAACCAATGAAGACTCAATGAAGGCCAACCAAAAGTATTGAAAAATTCAGTTGGTGAAAAGTTTTTGTTACAGTATGTTCAAAATCTGTATTTCTGCACTCTGTCACACACTCCTACACACACTCACAAACACACAAATAGCTACATAAATGTTTATAAGTGCATTCAGGTGTTGAATAAAATAGATTACATCTTAAGATTTTGTCAGTACCCTTATTTCATTGTGTTACATCTCACCCCGGGGTATGTTACAACTAACCCAGACTATGGGGTTAATTGTAACATTTCAGTCTTTGTGTTTGAGAGCATACCATGCAATGGGTAATTGTGCTGCAGAGAAAATAGCTGCACTATTTAATAGCAGAGACATGTAAATACTTTGCATTAAATTTTGAATCCACTACCTTCAACGAGCTCCAAGCTACAGACAGAAATGTCAAAAATGTTACAACTATCCCCGGTCTCCCCTACTATTAATATATGAATTGATCTCACCTCTACTGCAAAGCCTTGTTGGAGGCAAGGAAAACCAAGCCAACTCCACAAGTTCAAAGTTACAGCTAGGTTTAATCAAAATCTGTACTGAATACCTAATTATGTGGATCAAAAGATAAAAGGTTGGTTTACACTATTTGAGCTTCTGAAAAAGCAGAAATAAAAAAAACAACAACAACAACAACAAAAACAGCTTTGAAGCAAGCACATGGAGCCATACCTGCGGCTGCTATCAACACTTTAGCCTTGCAGCAATTAAAGCAGTGCAACAAAGACTTGGTGCGGATGTTATGATTGAGGAGAGCTACAGGGGAGCCCAGTTTAGCCAAAGCCAGCCAGGTAAACAAGAAGGTGGGTTCGTTCCCCATAAAAAGCGCGACGGTGTCGCCACCTTTATACCCAGCGTGAGACTGTAGCGCGTTTGCAATTTTGTTACTCCTCTTATCCGTGCAAGCGTATGTGTAGCTTTCATTTTCAAACACTATGAACGTGTTGTCAGGATGCGCCTCGGTCTGCTCCAAAAAACGGTCCAAAACAAAGAAGAGAGGTCTCCTTCTGCGCCTCGCTACAAACTTTACCAAAATACGCACTAGATCCCCGAAATACACGATGTCCATCCAGACATAGGGGGAAAAGGTTTTGAGTGCAAACGGTATGATGAGCAGACTTGCTAAAATGATTGAAATATAGATTTCCATCGTGACCTCTCTCTCTCTTTTTAAAGCTTGGACAGAAAAATGTGAAGCCCTGCTGCAAAATGGGGAGTGTTGCAGATGAGGGTTTTGCTGAGTGGGGCGGAGCGTTTGTTTCAAAGAATGCGAAGATTCATAAGAAAAACAAGTACTTGGAATCACGTCAGTGAGAGCGGCAGCAGCAGCTACTGTAAGAGACGCCAATGAAACGCGCGAAGTAGGACGTGCTCTCTAGATTGTAGCTGACAGACAACTGACAGCAACTTTTGGAGAATAACAAAGTCTTATGGGCGTTTCTAACGAGGCATGTGAGGGGTGAAGTGGGTACGTGCTACACAACATAACATCTTGTTTGAGCGGATGGTGTTCACTGGGTAGATGTCAAGTTTAAGGTTTGTATCCTGACTGAAGCTTCATCATTAGTCAAGGAGTCAAATAAAGTTATACCACTTGTTTATATAGCCTTCAGTTTGGTGGTTAAACTCGAGTTATCAATGAAGGCTTAAGCGCCATCCATGGAGTCACATGATGAATGTACGCCCACCAGCAAATATCTAATCAGCCAATCACGTGGCTGCAATTCAGTGCATTTAGGCATATAGACAGCTGAAGTTCAAGCTCAGAATCAGCATAGTGAAGAAAAGTAATGTGTCATGATTGTTGGTGTCAAATAGGCTGATCTGAGTATTTCAGAAGTTGCCGATTTACTGAGATTTCCCCATGCAACTCTCTATAGGGTTTACACCAATAGTTCAAAAAGATGAACTACATAATGAGTTCTCTGGCCCAAAATACCTTACCCTTGTCAAAGGTCAGACAAAACTTTCCAGACTGCTTCATGCTGATCGTAAGGCAACAGGAAATCAAACAAACTCTTATTACAACCAAAGTACGCAGAATAATACATCTGAATGCACAACACATTGAATCTTGAAGCAGATGGGTTACAGCAGCAGAAGTCAGCAGAGACTGGAGTGATGTTCCCTGGTCCGATGAGTGCTGCTGCAGTCAATCTGTAGGATCAGAATTTAGATTAAATGAAATAAAAGCATGGATCTTGCCTGTATCAACAGTTCAGGCTGGTGGTGTTATGGTATGGGATATGTATCATGGATGTGTAGCTGACAAATCTGCAGCAACTATGTCACGCTATCATGTCAACATGGATGAGGATATCTCAGGAATGTTTCCAGCACCTTCGTTTATGTCACGAAGAATTAAGTTAGTTCTGAAGGCAAAAAAGGGGGTTCAGCCTTTTACTATCAAAATGGACCTAATAAAGTGGCCAGTGAGTATATGAGTGACACAATCCTTGTTCTGCTCACAGAATATTGGGTCATTCCATCTCAAATCAACACAGGACTTCTCCTTCGCCATCTCTGATTCATGGCAATGTTTGAACATTTATATGTCATGAAAAACCAGCTTTTATGCTGGATTGAGCATAAAAGCTGCACCAAAACACAAAGTATCTGTTTCTCCCCGTATATGGTCTAAACCAAAAACTCAAAATTCTGAAATTTCCAGGTGGTACTCCTAACTGAAAAAAAAAATTGTAATTTTTGTAAATACATGCATTAATTTCCCAACAATCCTCCATACTTCAGAAACAATACAAGTATAAATTACTCCTGTATTTGGTTGAACTTCCAGTCCAGGTGACTACGTCCTTTTTTATTACAGCCTGTGACAGGAACACTCATTTACTGCTCATTGCTAAAAGAAAAACGTTTGGGGAACGACTAGTCTGGTCTTTTATAGTTGCTGTATTATTATAAAATTAGGTATATTGCTTATCTGAATCTTTATCTTATGTGACCTGATATTTGATACTTTGTTAATCTTTGCCTCTGGTCCTGTGGCCAACATGCTGCATGCTAATGGTTGCATATTCATACAAAAATACTCACACACATGCACATAAAGTTTAAACACTCAGCTCTCTGTCGGTCTGTGTTGTAACTGTTGTGGATTTTTCTTTATTTAGTCTGAACATTTTTGCAAACTGTTGTAAAATTCCTGCAGGTGGCGCTCTTTTCTTTTTTGGCATTCAAATTTCATTCATTGTCATCAGTCTGCTGCTGCTGAAGCTTTCACTTTCCAGCATCTTGTTTAAGATAGAAAAATATAAAAGAGAACTGGGTAGGGAATAACTCTACTTTCCCCCTAACTTCATAAACATCATAAGCATTGAAATCACAACTGAATATTAAATAATGTTCACACTCTTATGCTGCTGGTTACTCTTATTTGGCTCTATTGTGCAGATTTGTGAACATGTAAAAGATGAGTAAAGATTTTAAGGGAAATGTTTTCATGCCAAAGAAGATGTTAAAAAATATTTTTAATAACTTATATGACATTTATTTATTTCATTTTTAATGATAAAAAGTACCCTAAGCCCTAATAACTAATGGAATTTTTGCCTTTTGAAACTTGTTTTCCAAAGTTTTCATGGGCTCATCATCATCATCATCAATCATGGGAGATGAAAAAATGGCAACACATTAGAAACTGTTTACAGTTTGCCTAAACGTCAACCTCAACCCTCGACCTCAGAGGATTACAGTTTGTTTAAATAGGGTATTCAAAATATGTTCCCCAAGATGACTTTCTTGAAGAAGAACTTTAGTAAAACTCAATCCAGTCATTGTTTAGTTAGGCTGGCTACAGTCTGCAGTCGTCTTTTTATCACAATCATATCAATTTATCTGCACAGAGAAAATGTGGATTGATATTAAGGATTGCTACATTTTTAAGGAGTCTGGTAAAGAAACATTTCTGTATACTTTTGGCAACTAAACCAAAGTCCTGTTCTGAAGTTTGTCGAGGTGGGGTGTTTACTGGAGGAGTTCAAAGATACAGACAGTATGTACAATAGCAATCAATGATGGGATTATGTGTACATGAAGGTACCAAGGTCAGACAGACATCTGACAACCACAAAGGGGTAATGAGGTCAGGGAAAAAGAAAAAGAAATACTTGATTGGTATGTATTACGCTAGTGTGCGGGCTGGTCTGTCCAAAGGTACAAAAGCCTTCTAAAGATAACCGGCATGCTTTAAAAAGACCATACTGAGGTTCCTGAGTTTGTACGTGCTAGACTACCTCTCCTTTACCATAAGGCAGACTTCAGGGACTCGCTGTACTTTGTACACCAGCTGTGTATTTATCTGCTTCGTTCAGTGCTTTCCCTCACCTTTTTGATAATGAATGCATGAATGGAGCCTGACATGCCAATGCAGTTCTAATACCTTGTCACAAAATTGTCTGTGACTTTTTTAGACTGGTAGATGATGCTGTCTCAAAGGGATAGAGAGGATTGGGGTGGGTATCTGAAGGCATCATCTTAGCATATCCTTTGGGCATCAGCCAGAGATTTTCATTTTTTTTTAGAGAGCGAGGTAATATCCGGGGTCACTGAGGTCTCCAGGTTGTGAAACTCGTGTGAGCACAGTCCAGGGAAGCATGTGGTGACCCAGCCAACCTCTTTGATTATGCCATCTCCTGTTTTCACACTTTTAGGAGCTTTGTGAATGACTGATTGATACTGATCTCACGATCCTGGGTCTTTTGACCCAGCGTTTTGAGTTTTAGTTTATGTTTAAGCCCTTCAGGTTTTCTAAGTTCATTTTTTATCACGCCTAGGTTGTTCTAGTTCTTTGTTATTAGATTCCCCTTGTGTCTTCCACCCCTGTTAAGTCTCCCTTGCCCTTCGTGTGTTTCATGTCTCTGTCTTACGTTGTCAAGTTCAGGTTGTCATGTCTGCGTCTTATGTTTCCTGTTTTATTTTGAAGAGGTCTTGTGTTCCTTTGTTCATCGTGTCTAATGTTACTCTTCCACTGGGACGTCGTTATGTTCATGTGTGTCAGCTGTTTACCCCATGTGTTCCCACTTCTCTCATTAGCCTCCTGTGTGTATTTAGTCTGTGCGTTCTCATTCAGTCTTTGTCGGATCGTCTGTGTTGTTCTCATGCCAAGTCCTGCGTTCAGGTTTTCATATATATGCGCTCATTATCATTGCCATGTTTAGAGTTTTGTTTTTCTGTTTGCCAGGGTTTTTCATAGTTCGTGCTTCCTTTCTAGTTTACCCAGTTTAGGTTATTGCTTAGTTTGCATTGTTTTTGCCCTTTTATTTTGTACTGTTCTGTCTGCCTTAATAAACAGCTCATCATCAGTTAAGTTTGAGTTTTAGAATGTCTGCACCTGGGTCCACTATTCACACTCCACGCAGTTAGAGTCCGAACCGCAAAAGAAGCGCGTGTTCTCGGAAAAGTTGCAGGGGGTAAGCTGGCTTCAAACAAATGATGTGGTGCAGAATATGCCTTGAAAATCCCACTCTAGCGGACAAAAACAGTGCCTTTTATATGTACGCAAACGCGCGTTGCAACTTCTTATCTGGTGCGCGTCTTTTATTTGGACAGCGAATGCGCACCTGCGGCCCACTTATGTGCACCCCTGTTTATAGAGCATGCGCGACAAACTTAATCCTCTTAGCCGCTAAGAGTAGGACTGCTCTCAAGAGCTGGCAACAACGTACTAGTTTCACTTTGTTTAATTTAAAACACTTTTCACTATTCGTGCCTTTATTTTGTAATTGGAACAATAAGCGGGGTTAAAAGATCTTTAAAAGGAGAATCATTTTAACCCTCGTTTAATAGCTGAATAAAATCTTAAATCAGTGGTGGGCTGCTTGCTTTATTTGTTTTTTGAGGCATTGTGTGCCGAAGCAAAGAAGATGCACCCCACTGCACTGCAGTACCAAAAATCGTTTTCATTTCTTTTTTAAAATCATAATAATGCTCACACATGAGAATCTATATTTTTACAGATAACAAGTTTGCATCATGCACAAACCCGCTACAAGCCTGTAGTCAAAATAGCGCTTTTCAGATGTTCGCGGAAACTTTTAACGGCGCTGGTCCACCTGATAAGAATGTGCTGGCGTAAGGGATTGTGTTTCAGAAACGCGTTTTTCCTCAAGTCACGTTGCCCCACAACACAAAAGCGACCAATGGCCTAAGAGGCACGTAGTCCCACAGCTATAAAGTTGGCTTTGAGCTGAGGAGTCTTCATTCATGAGCATACTGAGAAGTGGATCCTGCGCTGCCGTTTGATTCCACTGACACACTCACTATTACGTTGGACAATGCTGCGAGTAAGATGCCTGAGAGGAGGTAGCAGGGGGGCCGAGGCTGCCCATCTGATCGGAGCAATGGTTGGTATTACGGTGGTTTAATGTCTTCTGTGTCTTTCTCTCGCGCTCGCTCACTCTCTCTTTTCTCTTAAGCAGCGTTTTTGTTATAAAGCACAAGTCAGTCAAAGCGAATAAACTGTGAAAATATGATTAAATTTGGCATTTCTCTTCACATCTGCCGCTGCACTTCATTGCTTTGTTCATTTGTTATTTGTCTAATTAACACTAGAAGCGCCGAAGCAGTCATAATGACCCCGTTTGGAGGAGACTGTGTTGCAGAAATGAAGCTGAGGGGATTTTTATTTTATTTTTTTTAAATCCAGTGCATAAATCGTAATTGCACCGATTATTTCCAAGAAATCTTCCTCCAGTGACTGGCGTGATTTTCTTAACTGCTGACAAAGCTTTTTTTCTGGTTGCCTGAGTGACAGTGAACAGCTGTTTGGCACAGATGCGCTCTCAAACTCAGTGACACTGAAGCTGTTCCCGAGCCAGCGGAGGCCACACTGTAGAGGCTATCGGTGGAGATAAGGCTTCTTAATAAAACGTGTACTTTGGCACCAAACCAATCAACCTCACGGAAGCTTTTTCGCTTTGAAACCCAAGGAGCCTGAATGTGTTATCGGTTAACACACAGATCAGCCGCTTTCTACGCGAGCTGGGGGCATTGAAATAAAAATAAACACACCACTAAATAGGAACTTCATGTAGACCGATCTGTTACTGCACATAGTGTAAATATGTACTGAACTGATCCAAAAGGGGAAAACAAGATCTATTAAATCCAAAGATTTTATGCAAAAGTACATGAAATTTTTGTTCAGCAAAATATATATACAAAAAAAAATCTTAATGTGTTTTCACTTCCATCAGCTTGGCCGGGCGTTGAACGGATGGGTGCAGAAGACCCTGCAAAGCACTTCAAGTGCAGCAGCTGCACAGCCACAGCATGTAGTTGAAGAGGAACATGTTACTGAGCCGGTTCCTCAGGAATGCCCAGTCTGCAGCTACAATGAATGGGACCCTCTGGAGGAGGTGATTGTGGGGCGAGCTGAAAATGCCCACGTGCCTCCCTTCACTGTGGAAGTGAAAGTAAGCAATGCTGTCAGAAGATGCTTTGACTCAAAGCATCCTTGTCATTTCTCTCAGCTGTCAGATTGACTCCATGTTGTTATGCTACAAACCTCTCATCAGGCTAACACATATGAGAAGTACTGGCCCTTCTACCAGAAGTATGGGGGCTGGTCTTTTCCTGCGGACCACTTGAAAAAAGCAGTTGCTGAGATCGAAGAAATGTGCAATATTCTGCGTCACGAGGGCGTCGTTGTGAAGAGGCCAGAACCCGTCGACTGGTCTGTGGAATACAAAACACCAGACTTCACCTCATCAGGTAAAAAGACAGAAATATGTGTGTGACAAATATGTGTGACATAAAGGTGTTAATGCATCACACTGCAGTTTATAAATGAGTCATTGTAAAGTAATTCTCTGCTGTTGACCCTCTTGTAGGAATGTATGCGGCCATGCCCAGAGACATCCTTTTAGTGGTGGGAAACGAGATCATCGAGGCTCCTATGGCGTGGAGGGCTCGTTTCTTTGAGTACCGAGCCTACAGACCTTTAATCAAGGAGTACTTCAGAAAAGGTGCAAAGTGGACCACTGCTCCTAAACCAACCATGGCCGATGATCTGTATGATCAGGTGAGGCCTTAGTTTGGGAGCTATAACATAGCCAGGTGGTCATTTCTCAAGGCAAGGACTTAAGTCAAAGTTGCATTAACACCTAAACAGCTTGTCTATGTTCTTTATAGCAAACCAAACCTCTTTGCATCAACTTTTTTATTGCTTTGTACATGATAGTGTGACAGCAGGCTATTCCTATATCTCAAAACGGGTGTAAATCCTTTTTATGTGTGCCTTTCAGGATTATCCCATCCGCACAGTGGAAGACAGGCACAAATTAGCTGCTCAGGGGAAGTTTGTGACCACGGAGCACGAGCCCTGCTTCGATGCTGCTGACTTTATTCGAGCTGGGACGGACCTCTTTGTTCAGAGGAGCCAGGTATGAAGGATATTTTGCTTATTTTATGACATCCTATGGGTGATATCTTCTGCTGAAATGGTAGTAAAATGCACAATAAACCCCCACACACGCATATATAGATCTCTCTTTTATCCATTGCACTTACAGAAAAAAAGAATGTTTCTCTGAATATGAATGTGAAGCTTGGATAAGCTCCTGAAACTTCTCCTTTCACACTGCTTTTTATTCAGGTTACAAACTACATGGGAATTGAGTGGATGCGCCGTCATCTGGCACCAACCTACAAGGTCCACATAATCTCCTTCAAAGACCCTAACCCCATGCACATTGATGCCACGTTTAACATCATCGGGCCAGGACTCGTGCTGTCAAACCCTGATCGCCCATGTCGCCAGGTACTGAAGTGCTGTGCTGCCCTCTTCTGGGTACACTTGTACACACCACCACCACCACAGAGTGGCCCAAACTTACCAGTGCTCTTTGTCTTTTCCCTCAGGTAGACATGTTCAAGAAGGCTGGCTGGACAGTTGTAAAACCACCAATACCTTTGATTCCCGATGGTGGGTACTCAAAGTAAAAATTATTTTCTTTCACTCACAAAAAAAAGATGATATTTAGATTTATTTTTTTTTACTGAAAAAAACCCCACTCTCTTGCTGAGCAGACCACCCACTGTGGATGTCCTCCAAATGGCTGTCCATGAATGTCCTGATGCTGGATGAGAAGCGTGTCATGGTTGACGCCAATGAAACCAGCATTCAGAAAATGTTTGAGAACCTCGGTGAGCCTCTATAAGCACCCCCCACCTTCACCACCTTATTTATTTTTAGTAAACTCAATTTCAGCAAAAAATAAGAAAAAATGCTCCATAACTGTGTGTGTGTGTTTAAATGCAGGTATCAAGACCATAAAGGTGAACATTCGCCATGCCAACTCCTTGGGTGGTGGCTTCCACTGCTGGACAACTGATGTCCGCCGCCGTGGTACCCTGCAGTCCTACTTTCACTAGCCTTGCCAGAAACAGGCAGTTTTATTGAGCTTTGAATATAAAGCCTCAGTCCGGAATCACTGCAATAATCCATTTTTTATTATCAGTCAGTTTTAACCCATCAGTCAACAAAGGCTGAAACTTTCCCAAACAAAAAGGCGATCTTTAAACCTATCTTTTTCTAAATGTGTATTCAGGTGTCGCCTGCTGAAACTCAAAGTTTTAATTCTTTAAACTGGCAAAAACAAATGATGGATAATAATAACGAAGACAGGTGGCACCGAAGCCTTTACCGGATTGTGTCTTTATATAGTAAACGAATATTTATGGATTGTTTTGATTTGACATTGCTGCACATCACAGTGCCTTTGCAGACAGCTTTGTTTGGAGACAATTAGAATATACTGGATAATCTCAATAGCAAAAAAATGAACATCACTTGAATCAGTGATCTCAATAATAACTGCATTTCTGGCCTGGCTGTTGTGAAGTTGAAGTTTTTATGGCTTTTACATCAAACGCCAAAGCTTTGAGGACAAGGTACAATTTGGTATGTGAATGTCATCAGACTAGGGCACAGGAGGAGGGAAGCCTCCTCATGAAACCTCAAAACCACAATCCTACCTTTTTCAAAAAGAAGAAACCAAAACATTTTTTTATTTAAATAAATGTACACAACTTTTACGTAGGTCATTAAAAAATATTAACTTCAGTTTATTGAAAGAGGGGAAAAATGTTCTGTTTATATTTTCCGTATTCTTTATTGGATTTTCCCAACAATTCCCAAATGCATGAAAGTATGTGATCCATATCAGATTTTGTATACCTTTTTCCTCTGCTGTTTTCTCCTATTGCAAATCTGGGCCAGCTATATGCTAGTAGTCATTCTCACTAAAACTGCTTGGCTGCTTTTTGTGTCTTCAGGATGGAAGATGTTTTCTTGTGAAGATTTCTGTTTTTTTATTCCTTTGCCGCTGACAGGGTGGGATGTAAGGCATTAGCCTGTCTTGATATTTATTGTGAAACAATAAATTAAAGGGACATTGTGGCTCAGCAGAGGAATGCTAGTGGTGTTTTGTAATGTGCAATGTTAATAAATTAAAGCAAGTTGTGTGACACAGCTGTGATTCTGTATTTGTGTTTCCATCCATCCATCCATCCATCCATCCATCATGAGGGTACAGTCTGTCACAGGGCTAACACAGAGAGCTGGACAACCATTCGCTCTCACATAAGATAAAAAAAAGATATTTTATTAGTCCCACACGTGGGAAATTTGTTTTGTCACAGCAGGAAGTGGACAGTGCAAAAGTTATATAGCAAAAATTAGAATACAATAAGAATAAAATACTGTACAGAATAGAATAGAATAAAAATAAAATAAAATACTATATACAGTAGAATAAAATAGAATAAAATATACAATAGGATAAAAATAGAATACAAATTCTATTTACACCTGAGTAAAAATACAACTTCACACCTGCAGTTTAGATAATAACAAATTAAGATAACTTGAGCATATTTTTTGGACTGTGGGAGAAAAATCCCACGCAGGCACAGGGAGAGCATGCAAACTCCATTTTAATTATACATTATATTTTATTTGATATACCGGTACCTCCGATTATAAACTGGAGAGTATTGCAGTATTGCATATCTTAATCAACCGTCCACTGCACCAGTGTCAAGAGCCCATGCTGTAAAAGCTGACTGGTATTTTGGTAATACAAGTTAAAGATGCCTCACTGCAAATAAAAGTTCTGCAAAAAATCTTTTTACATAAGTGAATTTATAGGACTATTCTCAGCATGGAGTACTCCTTGTACCGTACTATGGGTCCCTTTTACATGTTCACCACGGATTAATGTGTTAGCGGCTTTAATGCCATCAGGGTCCTGAACGATGTTACAAAACACACAAGCAGTTTAAAAAGTGCTCTTGTGTTTTGAGTTGAAACTTTAACCGGTTAGATTCTCAAACATAGTTGGAGCATAAAGTGACTTAAAACTGAAAACTCCAAAAACAAACTTTTAACTGTACTGTAGTTACATGCAGTACTGTAGTTACATGCAGTACTGGAGCACATGCGTACTTTGTTACTGCTGATATCACACATTAGCTTGAGCAAAGAGGGCCACTAAGGGTAACACAAACCCGTGAACCTGGGACCCCTTCATCTGTTTGATAAATGGCACCGCAGTTTCCAGTGCATGTGGCACCACATTTACTGTAACACCTTTAAGTCTGTAAACATTAACCAGGCTGATTTGTCAGTGAGTGGAACATTGCATCATATATTATTATGTAAACCTGACTACTGCCAATAGAAACTACTGTAAAGGAAAAAAACATGATAATATCTGCTTTAGTCATTTATTCATTTACCTTAATTTAAAAGGCAGAATCTTGGAATATAACCATGAGCATGTTAGATTAACATTGTAGTTTGTGGACATTGGCACTGTCTTCTGTTAACTGCAGTTTTGTCTTTTAATATTGCATAAACTTTGTAATTAACTCATTCCTTTCTTTTATTCTTTTTTCGCTCGGATTCAAATAAAAAGCCGGTGTTTTAAAATGTGTTCACCTCTCCGCGCTCTTCTTATGGGACTGAACAATGCTGTTACTGTGTAAGAAGTTTTAGATCTTAGCTAAATGGATAGCACTGCATGCAAAGTAGAACAAGTCATGAATTAAATATGTAATGGCCAATTTCAGCAAATGAAATTGTTTTCCTCAGCATGCAAGATATTTAAGGCATTACTTTTACACTGAGAAGATGACATAGTGACAAAGAACATCAGGTGCTTGGCTCTAACAGCCTGCGGCAGCAGGATCACATTTCCAGGTCGTCAACTGCTGTTCGTGATTAAAACACCCTCACTTTCAATCTAAGTACATTTATTACTCTCGAACTTTAAGACTGTTCAGTCTTTGTTTCAGCACGGCATGTGCAGCCTTTACCATGTCTGTGCTCTTCCCACCTCGTGCAAGATGGCAGGACCACCTCAATCTGAAGTCATTTGATGCTGACCCTGAACACCATTAAAGATCTTCAAGTAATCTCCTTTGATGTTTGGCAGTTGCTGTAATTGTGCTGTTAGGAGGCTAAATCCTCAATTTCCTCAATCTAGTTAACATTTTTAGGAACCGCTGCGTTTGACAACAAAGACAAGACAAAAAACAGTTTGTTTACCATCCACAGACATATCCTGACCATGTCCAGCTTTCTGACTTTACTAATTTGTCAATCATGTTGGATTCGTAACTGATTCACCTTTGTCTCAATGTGGTTTGGATCAAACTATCAGGCTGGACCTGGTGCCTGTGGTGAGACACACACATATTTTATAACAGGAGAGGTTTACTTCGAGCCAAGTCACTTCTCTATGCAGCTGCTCAACTGTGTGTCTTTTTTTCTGATCCTATGTAGACCCGTGCAGATGGGCTGCTTGTTTGTACAGCTGCCTAATTGAGCAACAGTGCAGCTGCCACTGCAACTGTCTCCAAACAGGAGAATTGATTGGGATGTTGTAATGATCAGGCTTCACTGTAAGCAGGAGCACAACACTCACCTCCTCAATTCCTCTTATCTGAGGACGAGTTTAGGCTCAGAAACAACCGGCTGCTCAGTTTATACTCGTCAAATACATAAAGCAGTGAAAATGTAAGATATCTCAGGAGCATGGGGGGGAGGGGGGGTATCCACAGTGGTGTAAATAGTACAAAATATCAAGAATATATGACATATTCTAATGGTCTCTGGTCCATCAGGATAGATATAAGTATTAACACTATTACATCTGAACAGCGACTTTAAAGTAAAATGTGAGAAAAAAGTAGTCTTAAATACCACAGGGAGGCAGCAAATCTCATGTCACTTGAGTGGTGGTTTAAGCGTCTTGTCTCTGCCGATAGCAGGTTTAACAGGTTAAAGTACTTTTTTGCATTTGCATCACCATAAATACTATGCATAACTCTTACTTATAATGGATGGCAACACTGCAGAGGTCAGGCTGAGTAAAAAGTAACTTTTTCAGGTGGCCGTGCACGCTCAGGAAAACACGCACACACATCGATTACATGCTTCTAAGGTGTCTGCAGACTGGAGAAAGTCTAAAAAGGTCAAAACTCCAGCAACACGTAGTAGTGGTGTATTGGACAACCTTATTGTGAAAGCATTTAATCAGGCTCACATGACACGTTACCCGATGAAGACAAGAGGAAAGATGAAAACCAAAACAACAGCATTGCAAGGAAACCCACTTCTGTGGCAGCCAGCACAGCTTTTTTTTTCAATGTGTTTTCAGCTCTGAGGGGCCCTTATTTGTCTAATGCACAAACCGAGAAGGTTGTAAAGCTTGCTAAGAAGGTTGCATACTCTCCTGTTTTCACCTTTTTAGTTAACTTTACCTTCTTTTAACTTTTTCTCATCATCCGATGGCCCCGACACAACCAAACACTAATGCGTGGATGAACATGTTAATATAGAGAATTATACCCAATTTCACGTGTGAATGACAAATGTGACCATGAGAAGCTGAAGCACTTTAGGAGCAGCCCTTGGTTGCACAGTCTAAATATAGGCTCAAGGTTGCACATGAAAAGAAGTCAAAACAATGTCTTAAAGCGCTCGCACCAGTGAACCGGCTGTAAGTACATAAGCATGTTGTTCAGTGAGCCTGATTATGTGTTTCGTCAGGCCGTGTCCATTTTTGGGGGACGTAAATGAAGTCCCCCATAATGTAAATCATTAAGCCATGGTTCAGGATGCCAGCTGTGATCGCTCTGCGTTTTCTTTTATATAGGAAGTTGGTTTGCTTGATATGCTGGAGAATTTATAAAATGGACTATAAAGAACAGGATTCATTCAGAAAACTGTCCTTAACCTGGAGAAGAAAAGATTTTTTGCTTTAAAGGTGTGCTTTAACAACTTCTTTCACTTTCACCACAAAGATTCTGCGAGTACAACACGTGAAGACAATAAATGATAAAGCAGTTTTCTCAGCATCTGAACATCCTGAGACGCAGCCGCCGAGCTGTCTCAGAATCACCTGAGGCATGATGCAGCTGAGCATTATTCCTCTGCCTTTTTAATATTATTGCCTGATAATATTCATGCTTTGTTTGGAAACTTGCATGGGTCAAAACGTAACCAGTTTCATTTAAATGCTTATTTTACAGGAGCTGCCAGTAGAGAGCAACAGAGCGCACTTTCCAATCTCTAGACAACCAAAAGATCCCTAAAAATGTTTCACTTGTGGTAAAAAGTTGGCCAACTGAAATACGTTATCTAAATATTTGGGCTACACTCCCAAAGTGACATAATAACTGGTCTGGAGAGATTCTCACTTCCTATTCTGATTTGATGTCCTAAAAACTAAAATAGTTTGTTAAGAAAACATGAACATTATCCTGGAAAATTAATCATTTTGGCGCCTCCTAGTGGAAGAATCGTGGAATAAATCTTTAGAGTCAAACGCACAGCCTTTCAGCAGATATCAGGCACTTACACAAAGTAATGTCGAGCATGAAATCAGTTGCAGTAAACCCATATGGCCCAAGTGGAGCAATTCTCAGTTCTTATTTAACATCTTTTACACACTTTACAAAGCCTCCAAAAAGTAACCTCTGCAAGGCTACACTTCCCATTTGAAATGATAAATGTTATGTCATAATAATCAAATCACTGACATGACTGGGCAGAAATTCATTTTCATTCATCGGTATTCTAGACCAACTTTAAACTTATCTCGAAAGATAAACATAAATGTCAGACTATGTTTTTAACATATTTTTTTTTAGCCTGTTTTCTTTTGCTTACAGGAGCCGCCTCTAATGTTATGGTGTGTTGTCGCTTTAGTGTCGTCACTGTGAGATAAATCATTGCTTGAGGGGCGTGTAAGTATGTAATGCCGTTATGAAAACTAATGAAATGAATTATGAAATAAAATTTCACAACAATTTTGCTAGCTGGTCTATTATTCAGAAACCGGTGATTGATTTAAGTGATTATTAACTCTGTGTTATTGTTGTTGTTTTAATTTACTTAATGCACCTTAGTGTCTCAATCCTTGAATATAACATGGATATATCAGTTTTAAAAAGCTGCAAAATA